CAAAATCGTAGCTAAGCGTTCGGCGCGATGTCAAGGAGACCTGTCGCGAGCGCGCTTCCGTGGGCGTTTCCGCCTTCAGTTTGTCGATGGAGCTACGAATGCCTTCGATTTCGGCCATCAATTCCTCCTTACGACGGAGGGCCTCAAGCTCCGCGGGCGTCATGTTTGTTTTTGTATCCTCGGCGATGAAGGCCTTCGGGATATCACTCTCGACGTCATTGCCAAGATCAAGCGCGGGAAGTGCACCGAAGCCCTGCTGCGAGCGCGTGCGCACTTCGTCGTCGGTCGGCGTAGGTGTTGACATGAACTCGGACAGGCCAGACGGCCTGCGAGCGCGACCAAAGGCCGTTGCAGATTCAGTGTCAGGCGTTCCAGGCATGTCAACATCCTTCATGAGGGCCATACTGGAAAAGTCACTTTGAGTTCGCCCGTGTTTGCCGAGAGTCGGGTGCTGGCGTTCCCATTGCTGTTTCTCTTCCTCAATCTTGAGGAAGCGTTCAGCATCCTTGGCCTCATCGAGAGCGTCGCGCCGGCGTTGCTCAATCTTGATCTCTTCGAGCTTGCGTTGTAGAACACCGAGGATACGGAACTGCACGGCTGCACCCATGACAGCGATAGCACCAATGAGACCAAGTTCAACCTGCATTGTCTGGCTGACGGGGTATTGGATGCCATTCTGCGTGAACTTCGGGAAAAGCTTGTTGAAACCCAGGTTCCAAACGTAGAACTAACAGTATCAAGTACATCAGCGAAAAGCAATCAGCCTATAAGCGTGTGGCTCACCTCCTTCAGACCAGCCGTGGTATAGCAGTCAACGCCTAGCATTATGGAAGATGCGCCCGTGATTGCGGTGGATACCAGGAGAACGTGGTAATGAATCGGCGGAATCGTGCACAACACGAAGCCCACAACAGAACAGCCTGATAAGGCGTGTGAGCAAAGACAAGAACCAGAGGTCCACCCTATCCGAAAGGGCTTAGCGTACCGATATACATGATCCATCTGAATGCTATTGGATGGATAAGGCCGCCATTGTGGAAGCATTGGATCCATAAGCCAAAGGCTAGGCCTCCCCATGCGCCGATAAAGAACTTGGTCGCCTTCCAGAAGAAGATGGAGAGCCCTCCACCAACGACACCAGCGACAGAGCAGGCTAGCACAAACATGCCGCGAATGGTAGCCGACGGCGGATTAACCGCGGGGAGTACGCCGAAACGCAGGATAAGCACGAGACAAACGATGGATAGCGTGTACCAGCCGATGAGGAAGAAAGAGGTCCTACAGGGTCGGCGGTGATGAGAACCATGTGCTCTCAACTGTATTGAGGAGACTACGTACCACCTGTTCTTGTGCCCCAGAAACGCGGTTGGGATGCCGGTGAGAATGAGCAGCGCGCCCAGGACTCCAAAGGCGGGATCAACTTTGGTGTCAAGCACGATTGGTGCAGGTGTTGCGGAGGCTGAAGCCGTAGAGGAGGCCGAACTCGTCGCTGTGGCGGAGGTGGGCGTGGGGATGGTGGAAGTGACATTAATGACGTCCGCGATGAACGTGGAAAAGACTACAGCACGGTTGCCAGTGCCGGAAACCGACGTGGAGAGCGAGCTTGAGGTCGTCGAGAATACGGTAACGCTGGGGGCAACGGTAGAGGATGATTGCTGTGCACTACTGGAAGGTGCCGGTGAGGTAGATGATTGTGCGAGAACGGATCCGGCTAGGAGAAGAGCTGTGAGGGCAGCTCGCCCGGGGATAAGGGCGAACATGGCGGCGGGGGAGGGAGGTGGGGGAATGGCGGTCAGAGGGAAGGGTGGCTGCGAACAGCACGAGAAGATTCTACCAGTACTAGCTCCGCGGCCTTAAAGTTGATGCGCATGCTCCCGACCCCGTGCTGCGACGGTCGTTCACGCCCGCAAAGTTGAAACGAGAACAAGTCTACGACTCCATGAACACGCCCTCAACTCATTGACATGCAACCCCACATCGCGCTCGACGTTTGCAGTCGTTATATACCAACGACAGGAGGGCGGATCAAGCAGCTGTCACTGAGCGTTTAAGCTGTTCGGACGTCGGCACTACGTCATCGAGATATCGTCGCCACCATTAAAGGCAGTAATAAGGTACAGAAGGTTCTTGTATGATGCATGTCCACAGGCGCCTCTTTCATATCGGCGGTATAAAGTATGGCAATTAGACGTATGAATGGGATCAAGAAGGTAGGGTGGGAGGGCGCGAACGCCGAGACCGAGTGGAAGCAATGGAAAATTCCCCGCGCTTGTACCGCCGGGAAGATGAAGGCAACCCTTACTCCTCGTACGGTACATACATGTACGGACGGATATGCAATTTGTCGAATATCCGCTCGAGAGCCCTCCCCCCGTCTCTGATCGTTCGTGGGTTAAGAGCATCAACGCGCGGGGAAGGCTCCTCCGCGCTTGATTGGGTGCGCTCGATAATGATAGTGATGACCCTCGCTGGTTGAAGCCCCTGGTCCCGTCCTGCCAGGCGTCCGACGCGCCCTGCCCAATGCAAATACTTGTCCGCACTCCGATGACCCTCCGGCACGCCATAGATAAAGAGGTGGCTCAAGTTCCAGATATCCAGCCCGCGCGTCGCGGCGTCTGTAGCAACGAGGAGTGTCGGTTGCTTCACCGTCGCGTCGCCACGCAGGAGGTTGGGGTTACCCTTCAGATTCAGGCCGATTGCATTGACACCCAGCTGACGAAGCTCCCATACAGCACGCCGGACCGAGGCTTCAGAAGGCAGAATTAGCAAAGAAAGAAGCTTTATCTCGTGCGCGAAGACTTCTGCCACCACTTCGAGGGCACGCTGATTAAAAGGCGATTCTATATTCCTGTACTCTGTGACAATCGCGTTAACGGGTGTTTCTCAGACGATCAATCGACAATCTCACTTTCAACAAGCTCTTCGGGCGTGTCATCTTCCACCGACATCTCGTTGCTGACTTCCTCCGCCTTCGCCAAAATTGCCTCAACCGTGGGCTCCTCGACTTCCGGGTCAGAGACCACGGAAGTCTCTCCGATAAGAGACTTCTCAGGAGGGATGCTGCTACGCGCTGTCTCTTGATAATAGCGCTTGAAAGCCTTCGGGTGATTGCGTACTTGTCCATCCGGCATGATGACCAATGCATGGTGAAGTATTGGAGCGCCTGACTTCCTATTGTGCGCGAGTTTCGCATTCTCCATCATGTTGTCCCTCTGACGTTCGATTTCGCCCGGATGGACCTTGATACGCACAAGCTCACGGCGCACATCAAAGTATCGATGCTTGTGCACGAAGTCAACAAGTCCTTCACGGTATGTCGCTGATGCAAGAACAAGCTGGGGTACAGCGGAGACTCCCGGGGTGTGGTAGGATCCGACCAATGGGCGGTTTGCGACAGTAAACGCGTCCAGAAGCTCTTTCGTGGGTCGTGGATGCCGCTTCATCTTAGCTTTGATAAGCTTGTTCAGTGTCTTAGACGTATCTCCATGCGGTACATAGTCCAATTGGTCGTCCAGTTCGTCAACGACAACGGTTGAAAACAGTCCAGACACAGTTTCGGGTGTTATGTGATTGCCGAGCGCAGCGATAAGGGCAGAAGGAGTGGCTATGACAATGCGCGGAAACGACCGCATATGTAACACCGTCATGTCATCGGAGTATCCTCGCGCCAGGAGATGAATCTGCTCGGGGGATAAGGAATTGGGGAATGCGCCTCGAAGATGCGATTCGTGTGCAGCCGCGGTGATGCTCGTCATCCAAGCGAGGTATTGTGCGCCAAGGTCTCTGTGAGGCACAAGTATCAATGTAGACACTCGTGTATGTGACTCCGGTAGACTATGCCATGCCTGTGTGAGCGTGGCTAGAGCAAGTGAAAAGGATCTGGCCCGCGGTCAGTGCTTGAAAGATGATGTAGTTGTGAACACTACGCACTTTCCGGATCCCGTGCTTCCCTTCAGAGTCACATTAGCTCCTCGCACAACAGATGGCACAAGCCGTGCCTGATACGGGTAAGGCCGTTGTACGTGGGGGTAAACCGTACGGACAGCGTGCGCCAGGGCACCTGGTACGCCGATGTGCTCCAGGCTGCTGGCGTGTTCGCCGGGTCGCGAAGTTAAAGTACGCGTCAAACATAGATTTCTGTCAGGAGAAGGTAGCAAGCATAGCGCAGGAGTAGTCCCCAGCAGTCTTGTAGGAAATCTCTTCACTGGCGAGAAGAAACCCATGAAGTACAGCACGTCGTGTCGCGTCAACCTTCAACGCTTCAAGCTTCAAGGCCGGACCGGACCGGATGTCCGATCTTCTCTCGTCGGTTTGTTCAACGCTCACAATATTCCCAGCGTCTATCACATTACATGCAATACAGGTCAGAAGCTATGGTCGTAAACAGACTAAACAATATGATTGGACGCGTCAATGTATACGTAATGTTCATGCTTCATGCTCTCCGACCAGGCCTTACCGGTCTTCTCGCTACAACTAGCAACTCAGACAAACTGTGTGCCCTTGCGCTTCACCACAAAATGACGTGCTACCAGAACGCAGATGGTCCCCGCAACACTCATGACCTGAAATCTTATCGTCAACTCTTGGTAGAGGGTGCAACCAAAAGGCGACTGACCCCACTGAAGATGATGGCCCTTGACCACGGGAATGTGCTGCCGAGCAGAGCGCCGTCGATAGGATTACCCACGAGCAGCCCGATAGATGCGAGAAAGTATGCCAACCCTAGGCGTGAGCTAAGGAACCGTCGTGTTACGAGCGCTAACTTCTCACACATGATTGGTGGTGCTTACCCAGCTTCGCTAGGTTCCCGCGCGAGCGTGGCAACGGCCACCGTGATTAGAGTAAAAACTGAAGACCGAGAGTCAGAGTCGTCAGCTGTACACCAGCGGGAATGTGGATGGGGCCTACACGCTCCCGAGAAGAATCCATATAGAATGGCGAAGACGGTGACGCTCGCCACGGATGTGGTGCCGAACATGGCAAACATCAGTGCAAAGCAGGCAACACTACAGAACGCCAGCACGTTGAAGATGCCAAACCGTGGAACGAACAAATTCGGCACGATTCTGCCTGGCAACGCCGCAGCATTGAGAATGGCGATCTGTACAATCATAAGCAGGGTGTCATAGGCCGCATACTTCCCCAATGCACCGTGTAGAAAGCGAAGGTATTATCCAGACCGTGTAAGACTGAGAAGAGTTGCAAGTAGAAGTCTGCGGTCATATGAGCGTACAAGCTGTGGCACTAGATATAATGAAGACGCACATGGGAAGAACAAGCCGAATAGGACGAAGAACGCCCTTGAAACAGTCAATCAGAATCAATCCAACAACGTATCAAAGGTGGCGGAGAACACCGCTTACCCGGCTATCGTGAAGATGTATGGCCAATCCGTGAAATAACTGGCCAAGTTCGGTTTCGGCTTCTCACTTGACGTTATCGCGTTTCGAGGATGCATCAGGACGTTGGCGAGAAGTAATAGACCCAGCACGATGAAGGCGCTTGCGCGTACTCCCCAGGCGAACCCGGCCGAACCGTTGAATAACTTGTTGAGCATTATGGGGAAGATGACCCCCCCGATCGAATTGCCTCAACGGATCGTGAGTTTGACTGTGTGGAGAGGGAGAAAGTGGTAATACCGAGGAAGACAAAGCCCATGATAGCTGGGCGCCGGGTTGTCCAGTGGTGAGACTGCACGGCCATCGTGGGCACGTAAATGAGGCCACTTCCAAGACCCATCCCTAAGCCTTGGGAAAGGAAGATTTGGTAGTACTTTTCCGGGTGGGCTAATGACACCATGAACAGCGAGAACGTGTAGAGAAGCGAGCCTATCAAGACTGTATGGCGGAAGTAGCCTGAGAATATAGTTGTAAGGGCTAATCTGTACGAAGTAGAGGGTTACATACCCATGTCCAAAAGCCGTCCAGAGCCCAACCCGCCTGTCCCCGTAAGAATGATATCGACCAGCGTCGTGATGATTACTCACCCGCGATCATGAAATACAGTTGGACGGAGCCTATCCAACTGGCTCGAGAGGCGCTGACGCCGTGCAACCTCGTGTAGTTATCCTGGTAGACGCCATAGGCGTTTGCGTATCTGTCCGAACTCGTGTTAGTTGCGATTGCGTGATGTGTGCACGAATTTGGATCTCTCACCCAACCGTGCATATCAAGACGAGGCAACTATGATCCGGGCATGAGCGAGAATAACAGCAATGCGTCAAATGCACGATAGTACCCTCCCAATGCAGTTGTCCAGCCCTTCACCCCGCCTTCTTTGAACTGAGCCGCCTGGGAGTCCGTGGAAGGCAAGATCTTCTCCTCGAGCGAGTCCTGCTGCTCCTTTTGTGATGCGGGTGGCGCCTCGTGGTCGTTAGGCATGACGGCGCGGGGCGAGGGAAGGTCTGTATGAAACCGTAGAGTTGACGTCTATATGTACAGACGCATGCCGTGTGTTCGAGCTTCTCTTTTCCCCGCCATGGCCCGCACATCAGACCGGGAGCATCATTGTCCGTGTGTGCGAGTTCACGACAGGCCGCCCAACCGTATCACTACATCAGACTCGAGTTGCCCACATGCCCAGCGCATGAGGGTGCGTACCGCTTCCACAAGAACGACAGAAGCATTTCCTAGAGTGCCTACCCTTGCCTGCATGTCCGTCATATCTTTAGCCGAAGCAGCCGCGCCGAGCGCCTCGGCGTAGATGAGCGCGAGCGAACAGTCAGTTAGATGCTTCGCCCGGAGGTCGCATGCTTCCGAGTTCTCCGCTAATCTCGGCGCGGGCGTTGGCCATCCCCGCCCTAACTTATGTCGCAAGTGTTATACACAGCAAGCGCCCTGCGAGTCGCGACCAGGGTCCATCGGAGGTGCTTGCATCCGTGCATCCCTATGTTGGACTGATCGACGGTAGTTATCGTTGAGAGTTGGGCACATACGTTGCCACGAGGATTCGAAGATACCGAGCGTGAGACATCGCCACGCGAGCGAGCGAATGATGTTCGACCCAAAACTGTGTCAACACCTCTGACTAGAAGGAGATATACTCCGAGACTGTTGTGCCTATTCACAGGCTGTTGGCGCTACGAGATATTCTGGAGATGTCGGACAGTACGTCGCCCCAAAGCCAAAGCATCGTGATATGCGGCGCAGGGATCATAGGACTGTCTATCGCCTATTATCTATCCGCACTCGCTCCTGCCAGCGGGACTCAGATCTACGTCTTAGACACTTCACCGACTCTGTTTAACTGTGCCTCTGGGAGGGCCGGCGGCTTCCTTGCTGAAGACTGGTACCCACCGCATACTTCTGCGCTCGGCGCGCTTTCCTTCAAACTTCACCGCGAGCTCGCCGCTAAACACGACGGGAGAAACGCGTGGGGCTACGCTGCTAGCGTCGCATATAGCGTGACGGGACTCTCTGCACCAAAGGACGGCGCCCGGGGTGAAGACTGGCTTACTCAAGGTGCCAGCCGAGCCACCGCTGCTACACCAGCTGGCGCTGCAGACTTTCCGACATGGCTAGCACCTGCTCGTGCTGAGCTCATCTCGACTGCGCAGTCCACGGCCCAAGTGTGTGTAGCGCTTATATTCAAGCATGATGATCATGTTGTTCTGACCCGCCTGTCTTTAAGAGACCCGGAAAAGCTATGCCGATTCCTTCTGGCAGAGTGCGAGGCACGCGGTGTACAAGTTATCCACCCTGTTACCCCTTCCGCGATCGCTCTCGATGGTGCTTCGCGGATTACCAAAATGGAATACACTGGGAATGACGGCGCCTCGCATACGGTGCCGTGCACTTCACTAGTTCTCACTGCAGGAGTATGGACGCCGACGCTTTTCAGGGATCTCTTTCCATCGGCTCCAGGAGATCTCCCAGTCGTCGCGATGTCCGGTCACTCCCTGGTCCTGCGCTCGCCGCGCTGGAGGCCTATCCCGGCGGCGGAAGAGGGTGTTCCGACTGAATGCGCGGCGATCTTCGCCTCAGACGATGGATACGGGTTTTCGCCCGAGCTTTTTTCGCGCGCGCATGGGGATATCTATGTTGCGGGGCACAACACTAGTGCTCTAGCC